GCTCGGGTGACTTCAGGAACAATGACACACAAACACACGCTCCTTGCTAAAGGTAGCCCAAGTGCAAAGAACTCTGGTAGCACTCAGACTCTGGTCTCGAGCTTCCTCGGCTCCAGAGCAAACTCATCCTTGCAGCAAGCATGGAAGCAAGCACCTGGCACCTCACCATGCACACCACATCGGCCCTGAGAACAGGCACGATCCACACCCTCATTGTTCAGATAGAGACTGAGGCCTCAGGACAGCTCATGGGACTTGCTGAAGGGCCCAAGAGCCCAGGGCTACCAGGGCCAGACTCAGGGCAAGGGGTATTGCCCGGCCTCTAGGCTCGCTGCTGTGCGGTCTCCCCAGATTCTTATGAACAGCACTTTACAGGAAGAGCAGCTGAGGGGAAACACAAATGTCTTTAAATGCTCAAAATGAGTGAGTGCATGCAAGGTGTCAAATAGGAATCGCCACCCCTAAGTCAGGGGACCTGAGATAGGATAACGTTGCCACGCTGCCGTACCTGATATACTGAAGGATCCAAGTGTGGCTTTTGTCACATTTATCATGCATACATAATTCATCAAGCAAAGTACATAATTACTTTATGGACATCATGCATTCTAGAAGATTCTGTATGTCCAAGGACACTTGCAAGCTGCTGTAACTATTGTGCTAGGGAAAGAGATCTCAGCATATGTTGGTGTCACCTGCCAAACCTACTCCCTGGAAATAAGCAAATCAAAAGCAAAAAAGAAAAACAAAAAACAATCAGAAGAAAAGAAACATATACATGCTCAACCAAAATAAGGAAAAGAATCTACTATCCTGCTTTGGCTCTTTCAGAATATTGTTTCATTCTTTCTGGGCAAGCATTTTACTATCTTTTGTGAGTTTGCTCTAAAGTGGAATACATGCCTAAAAACTGCAAAGCTGCTTGTGGAAACTTCAATTTTGCATGCCCTTATTAAAAACAAAATTGCTTTGGACAACCAAGCCAAGGAGGGGCAGAAGAAATGGTAGGTCCTCCCGGCTCATTCAGCGTTTATCAGGGAGGACTGGCAACTGAAGACCCCTGTGAACACCATAGGGTACCTGCATTCTAGAACTTTTAACCAAACAGTCTTTAGAAACTTCTAGACAATGACAAGACCACGACTTGGCCACAAATTTACAGTGAAATAATGCCAAAGCTGCATGAAATGAAATGAAGAGGTTTTCTATGAATACTACTTGCCTCAGCTCCACTGAGGCCACTGATCACCTGAAAAGCATCAACATGATGAGATTCACTTCCCCTCCACCTCTACCCCACATGGTTCTGGAGGTGTGACGAAACCCTCCTGGGGTACCTTGCCTGGTCTACCAGAAGCCCAGAGCATCTTCGTCCAGACAACAGGGCATCACCTTACACACTGAACTTGCTGACTCCTTCAGCTCTGCACTGTCACCTCCACAAGACACTCGACCAGGCACTGAAAGAGCCTCTGAGGAGACTTTCTGGGCTGGGAACACAAGAATTCTTTTCATGTATTAAACTGAACATTTACTATGTCCAACAGCACTTCCCTGAACATTCAGTGATTTCACAAACATTGAAAGAATTTTAAAGACGTGATAAAAATAACTACAAGTTATGTAAAATACTGACTCCGCTTTTAAGGTAATTAAGGATTGGACTGTGACAAAGAACAGGGGCCTTTTCTGACCAAGCAATCACAGCATTCCCATCTCCTGATCATTTAAAGATTAGGCGATTTTATTATGCAAACTATGCCCAAGGCTGATGGCTGAAATAGATCACTTGAAAAAGTCTGTTCTAAACATGTTCTCGCAATATCATTTTGCCACATGTCAAAGCAATTAACCATCCATGAGAAGAACTAACAAGGATGTGTATCATTTTGTCATTGTTAAGGGAATTTAGTGGATACTTGGTAAGTTTAAAAGTACAGTTCCAATTAAATATCAATACCTACTTTGAAAACCCAAGTGTGGTGACTCTTAAATCAGGTAACACTACAAATCTAATGCAGTCGTTCAAGAATTTAGGGCACATCCCATCCAGTTCAGTGGAGAAGAACCACACGTACACATGATCATGTGTTAGATTGGTTCATCCAACCATACAGTGCATCCTCCACCATGAGCCTGAACCACAACAATCCAAAGTTTTCCAGACAAGGAAACTAAGGTTCAAAGAAACAAAGTGACTTTTCTCATTAAACTCAGGCAGCAAGACTAAAAGGCAGGGCTCTGGCCCCTGGCCTAATTCTGCACAAACACGACTCCTGCGGGGACTTAGCCAATACGCACGCATCCCACTGAGGTAAATCAAGCTCAAGCCCGACCTCCGTTTCCACAGACCACAGCACACTATAAGCACGCAGTGAGATGCTCTTGGTGGTAGAGGTGCCCAACGATCAGTCACTAAACCCAAGGCTGAGCACATGTCGTCTCCTAGCAACTCAAACCCAATTTTATTTACTGCTCCACAGAGACTCAATCCTGTGCACCCTCGGAAGCATCCTAGTAAGCCTGGGTACGTCCTTCGTGCTATCTATCCCACACCGTTACGTGAAAGTACTGATAGAAAAATCCCTGTCCTCAAACAGCCGGAACGGAGGCCCTGTGGCTGTGCGTGTGTGTTTGGTGTGGAAGGCAGTAGCTTTTAGAAAGCCCTTGACTAGGTTTGGTTTCCTGGGATACCCGAAGGACCCGTGCAAAGTCGACATTCATGTTTAAGACTACTTTAAAGCAAGTTCTCCTTGCTCATTTCCTTGCAAGGAAGGGAAGCTTGTGTGCCTAGGAGCTGTGCTGTAGGGCGGATGAGAGAGAACCTGGCTTCCACATACTCCCGAGTATCAGAAATGCGCTCCTTGCTTGAGACTACAGAAATCCCTTCAAGTCTGCCAGAGTGTGGGTCACTGGAATTCCTGGGAAAGCTCTGGGCCTGGGGCAGATCTCTTCAGGGCAACATTTAAACAGCTCCTCATTGTTTCAAACCCGAAACACCCCTGAAAAATCCATTTTAAGATTCACCTACCCCAAGCTACCCTATTCTTTTGAACAGTAAGTCACAATTCCAGGGAGAGCTCAGGAGGTCAGAGCAGCCTGGCTGCCTGTTAATGTGCATGAAGAGCTCCCAGGAAAAGTAAGAGATGCCATTTCTGTGTAGGTTTATATCACAGTGATAAACTATGCTTCTAGCACAAACTTCTCGTGTATCGCTACAAAGCAGTTATGAAATGCACCTACATTAAGCAGGCACGCTGATGAACCATTTTTTGGTTGCATTTCTTGCATATTATTTCTGATGAATGGTTAAAGTTTTCATGTTTATTGAAATCCCACTTTTACCCAGTGGGGACCTAGAAATGTCATAAACTAAAGTACAAGGAGAGAATCCATCTAGGTCTGGCTTCTGTGCATGGGAGAGACTCGGGCTACAGCCATGCATCTGGGGATGGCATCTACCGCCTGGTGCATGGGGTCAGGTACCCACGCCCCTCCTGCTTTCTCCACCCCACCAGGACTACAGCCTTTTCATGGATTCATCTGAGGTCAATTTCTGTTCCCTAAAAATATCATGCTAGACATTAGCTTCCACTGAAAAAATCTTCACCTGTTCATTAAAAAGACATGTACTTTTAGGCTTCCAAAAACTTTAACATTTCCATTTATTTTACCTTGTAACTATATTTTCAAATGATTTCCCTATGATTTTGTACACTTTTCAATCCCATCTGCCTTGTTTCAATCCAGAATGCTTTTATTTTCATTTTATGACAATTATTAATATATCTATGTAATTTACCATTTCCCCTTTTCTTTTTATTCTTGGAAAATAGCACTCTGTGCATCAAGTTGGCTTTCAAAACAGCTTTTCAATCTCTGTGGCATTTCATAGTAAGAGACATAATTAGGTGTCTATGACCACCTTTGTTTTAATTACTACTGTGGTAAAAAACACCTATTATGGAGCCCTGGGTGAGTATTCAGGGAGCTGCCGGTTCACAGGGGGAGAAAGCCAGGCCTTTAATCTGATCACCGAGCAGTGGCAGGGGCCCAGCCAGCAGACGAAGTTTCCTAATGAGCTCAAGTCCCTGGAAACAAATGAGAATCCAACCCAGTTAGGAGTGTGACTTTAAGCTGCAAAAATTCAAGAAAAGCATTTTATTGCTTGAATCATGCAAACAGCTGTCTTAATCTCCCAGACATCACGGTGGCAAAATCCAGGCCCAGAGAATCATCCTGGCTGGTGCCAGTGCATGATGTGCTCAGTCGTCTTTGGACTGCACAGCCTGTGAGCTGTCTGTCCTCAGACAGAATCCGGTGGGTAGGGACCATCCATTCCTGAAATCATGTGCCAGTGCTGATATTTCTAAAGTAATTCAGTGAGCAGACCCTAGCTTTGTCTTTGTCTTCTAAATCTGTTTCCACATGACCATGTCTAAAGGCGCTTTACCTGGAAGCCCCATCCTTCCAACCGCTGAGCCCCCCACCCTGGACTGAGACCATCTCGGGGAAAGTGTCCCACTCTGCCACTTTGTCCCCTGGTGACCTCCAGCACTGAAGCATAGTCATGGCCCAGAATAAACACTGAATGAAGGAGGAGATGGATGGATGGATGGATGGATGGATGGATGGACGGACGGACAGACAGATGGATGGATGGAGAGAAAAGGCATCGCACAGATTTACCTATCAAAATCCCACCAATGCTCCTTAAAAATACTACCATAGTAGAGATGCTGAGTATATTCATATAATCCATTTGTTTCAATATTCTAAGAACCTTAGGAGTTTTTTTCCCCCTCTTTGGGTATTTATATTTAATTAATACTAAGGGTCCCAAGTCAATTAAAGTTTCTTTGAAAAGAAAAAAAGTAGACAATTTTTAAGCAAGGATTTTTACCAAACTATACACCACAATAATTTTAAGAAAAGAATAGATACAAACCTATTTAGCTTATCCTAATTTCTATAAAAGAAAGGAATAGAATTGTACTTACATATAATGTAGTAATCTTTGTTCTTCTGAAATTCTAGACCCCAGAGGTTAGGGCTGAACTCTTGGAACTTGATAGTAAATTTCACATCCTGGTCTGGACGGGCACAGTTGAGCAGTGGGGTATTTTCCTTCTTAATAGTGCATCTGTCTGCTTGGTCTTTATCAACCATATAAACTTTATAATATTCATATTGGCCAACAGTTTTAGAGTCCACTTTGGGGCAAATAATATCCAATTTGTCTCCTATCTGTGGGTATAGTACCAGTCCTTGTCCAGGTAGAAATCTAAAAGTATAAAAGAAAAGCCATTGAGTCGATCAAACTTGACAATTTTCATGGTAGTTACCATGAAGCCAGACATCAACAATAACCCCAAACTACAACTTTTCAGATCCACACTTTCATTTACTCAAAGTCTCAGCTCAGATCCTGAAGGGATAAATGCATTTAGGAATGAAGCTTAAAACAACAAAAACAAAACCAGAAATGGGTCCTTTCTTCTAAGCCACAGGAGCGGGCAGCTGCTGACATCTGGTCAGCTCCTCTCCCCTGCAGTACTTCAGTACTCCTTTGTGCCACTGGGCAGTAACTTCTCCTGCAAGGTGAGTCAGACCTCCCCACCTGTTTGTTATTTTTTAACCATTGGCAATTTGGGTTTATTGAGCATGCCTCAGAGAGCTCATCAATCCCAGGGCACAGGTCAGTACTAAGACTTTGTTGTCCTGTTAGTCTCCATATGCTATTGATGTTAATTAACAGACAAGTTTCATCAGGAATGTTTCAAATTACTTATCATACATAATTAGTCACTGATCAAACAATGGGCTTTTTTATTGCACCAAACAAAAGAAATGTCTTACAAACCCATAAAAGATAACCAGAAATAATTAGTTGTGGTATTGATTCAGCTGTGAAATGAAGCGTCAACCCCTTTGGAGGACAACACCTTCTGTCCTCCCTGTACAAATCTCCTTCCCCTCCCTGGAGATGTATTTGCTCCAATTAATCCTTAGAAGCCAATCTTTAGAACTCAGACTACTGATACAATATCTCCTGAATGCTTACAACTAAAAGCTTCCCTCCGCCCTTTTCTTTCTTGCCAGCCATGCTACTGAAAGATCTTTCCTAATGGGGAGTTTCTCCGAGAATCTGAAACAAGAGCTTCCTAATGAACATCCTCCTACAAGTGCTAACACTAACAACACACTCAGAAATCTCAGGCGTCTGAGCAGCCAAGCCCGCAGGCTCATTACAATATTAAAGCCCGAGAACAAAGCACTGCCTCTGAATCCTTCCAGGGCAGGGCTGTCCTCAGCCAGGGGAGCCCACCAGCCGAGATGACCAGCTGGCCAGGGTGCAGGAGCACAGATGAATCCCAACCCTGGCCGGGTGACAGTTTAGGAAATGTGCTGATGGAAGGTATTCATTTTCCCAAAGGTACATCAGGATAGTTATGAAGCAGCACAAAATATAACAGATTATAACGTAAGTTCGTATTAAAATGCAGTATGTTTTATGGCAGGAAAAATACATGTGGTACACAGCAGCTTGTCACTTTTGGGGGTACAATCGCAAAGATGTGCTTCCCCTCTACATACTTTTTTTTTAACTCTGATCCTTTAATAAGAACATACAACATTCATTCATTCATTCAAAAAGGTTTTTGGATAAAAAAACTAAACTGGTAAATGTGAATCATTGAAGATAAAATCTTTCTGTGAAGCAGAACGCCCCAAAAATGTGTACATTATGCAATGGCGACAACTTTAAAACATCCATGTGTGCACTGCTAAGAGGTCGCTGGAACTTCAACAAGTGGAGGTCACCCCGTTCGGGGGAGACACCGCCCGGCCCGGCAGGCGACCCTGGGGCACCTCCCAGCCCTCGCTGGCAGATCAGAATCTGTGGGCGAGGGTTCCAGTCCCCGCCCAGCGTGCACAGTGGTTGGGGTCCGCGGGTGCCCTGTTCCCCAGGAGGCTCACACGAAGCTCAGAAGCGCTCATCACTTCCTCACCTTCCTGAACTCTTCTTTCGCTTATGCTTATTTCTTGACCTTTTTAGGAAGCCTCACAGGCTCACAAGAACCAGGGCCAATTCCTGTCTGGAGCTTCCCACCCCACGCCAAATACTTTCTGTCCTAAAGCAGCTCCTTTCTTAGCTGGCAGAGATGCCATAAAAGTGTCAGGAGTGGCGGGACCAGCATTCCTACACGGCAGCTGCAGCCCGTGGCCCGGATGCCTCTACCTGCATCTGCTCAAACAAAGCTCACCCCACTTCTACCTCTCACCAACCCCTCCCAGGGCTCCCGGGCCTCAGAGAGAGGCTGCTCCCCAGCCAGGGGCTCATTCTCCTGCCCATCTATGTGTCGAGTTGTTGGAGGCCTACACCTGACCCCTCACGAGGTGCACACCTGGGCAGGTCTTACAGCTCACAGCCCCCAGAAGTCAGGCTTGCTGAGCCCTTTCTTCGTGGTTCCTTCAGTGGGGTCTTTTCTTTCCTGCTTTACTGAGGCCTGGCCGGGGGCTTCCCCCCCACCCCAGTGAGCTGCTGCTCATGACTCTCACCAGCCAATAAGGTCAAGAACACACTACCCCGTGTGCTGCCCACGGCCAACTATAACCAACTGTGGCAGAGAATGGAGAACTCCCGGGATCCCTCGAGCTTCCTAAAGCAACATGGCAGCAAACCACAGCAGTGTGGGCAGAGCCGCCACACAGCTTCGTGCCACGTGCTCTGTCTGACAGAAAACATGTCCGTGGAGATCACGAGGAATTTTCAGCCTCACTCCCTGAGGGCAGATGAGTCCCAAGTGTGTCTGACTCCATACTAAATGCCCAAGGGGCTGGCATACATAAAGAATACATTAAATAAAGAATAAAGAATACATTAGCTGGAAATAAAATATGAATGGACAAATGCAAGCTAATACTGATGCACATTTCAGTCAAATTAAGGGCCACACGCTTTCCAGATCATAGGCAGGATAGGAGCACTGAAGACAGCCATTTCGAGCAAGGTTGCGCCGAGGGGCCACGATGGGGCTACCTAGGACATCACCAGCCCCGCTTCCCACCCTCCCTCCGAGAGTCCTGTCCGTAGCCACCTCCAGAGCCACCAGTCCCAAAGGCCCTGAGCCAAGCACCTCAGTCGCCGACCTGCACCCCTGCACCACACCTGAGGAGGGAGCCGGCGGAGACACTGGTGTCCCGGGACAGGACAGGGACAATCCCTTCCCTGCACACTTCCAGTTGCATCAGCAACTAACCCTGGCTTAGGGAAACGTGTTTTCCCAAGTCAGGCTATTCCCAGATGAGCCCTGGAGGGAAGGGAAATCAAGGGAAGCCAAGGCACATGCAGGTGGGAGAGCTTCCGGGACAGCTCTGGGGAGATCAGCGCCATGCCCAAGTCCAGGGGCTTCTTCTGAAAGGACATCTGAGATCTCAGCTCCTGCGGGCAGCCACCTGGCGTCCGTGCTCTGCCCCAGAGCCAAGAGTCAAAGGTGAGGAAGAAGTAGGTCAACCATGAGGAGTTTGTGATTTACCTGCATGTGTCACACGGACTCCAGCAATTTATGCAAATAGCGAAATGTATATAAAAAGAAAATGGTAGCTGGGTGAAGTGGCCCACGCCTGTGATCCAGCTACTCTATGAGGGCTAGGTAGGAGGATCACAAGTTCAAAGCCAGCCTGGGCAACTTAGAGAGACCCAGCCTGAACCAGAACCAAAACCCAAACAAAGGCCTGGATATAGATCAACAGTCACAAAGCCCCCTTCAATCCAGAGACCAGGAGAAAACCAGCAAATGAAAAAGCGAAAAGTAAAAGACAAGGGACTGCTCCCTAATAATACCATTTAAAAAATGGAACAATGGGGTTTTGGGGGGGGGGGTACCAGGGGATCTAACTCGGGTCCTTGGCACTTTCGAGGCAGGTGGCGGAACCACTGAGCTAAATCCCAGGCCTGGAACAATGGGTTTTAATGGAACACTGTGAGTCCTGTATGTTATAATCAAGTCAGTAAACTTAGTTCTGTTTTTGAAGCCAAGAGCTTTCTATTTGGGTTTTATTACTTTTGAGGTTGCTCAGAGAACTTAGTAAGTCAGACTACACGCACCTCTACACCCTGAAGATTTCGTGGCATTTGATAATATACTTATCATATGTTGCTTTGCAAGTGTTAGAAAATTTGACAGGGGTGACAAAGGGATATTTTAAACCATTTCCTGGAGGATGTCAAATACAGAGTCCTTTGGGCTTGCTCGGTAAGGTGCATCGTGTAACCAAAAACAGCAGGGTGGAAAACCTCCTGTTACAACCCACAGCACACGAGGGAGGCTGAACATTGCCAAAAAGTCCTTAGAAGTGTCGTTTAACAAAGTGCTAATTATGAATCAAAAATCAAACTCCCAACAGTGCTTCGTGGTCTAGATCAGAGAGTGAACCGAGCCTCGCCATTGCTCTGGAGCCTGCTGGGCTGGGGATAGTTGTCTTATTTCCCCAAGGGCCCCAGGTCTTCCTCCTGGGCGGTGCACGCTTCCCCTGGGGCATCTCACAGGGAGCAGGGGCCCTCTGGGCAGAAACAGGCAACTCCCGTGTTTAGCCCCCTTACTCATTTGTCAGCAAGGCAACAGATGTCATGCCTTTGAACCAAACGCAGACAGAATAGAGCACAGAAAAAATAGAAATTGTACAGTAGAGTTTCCAAAGCTAACATGCCTTAGGTATTAGCATCTATTTTTACCTTTGGATTATCTATCATCACATTTAGCTTTTTAAAAGTTATACCTGCTACTAGACTCAATACTTCCACACTGAGCACGTCAGGTGATAAATCTAATAATCTAAATTAGACATTAATATTTTGTAATCTAAATTAGATCTCTAACAATTTAGACATTTCGACTTCATATCTCGCATTGTAAAAACTTTTATTGCCATTATGTGACACGATATTCCTTAGTGCAAACAGACTTGAACATCGCAGGATTAATGAGGTACAAGGCAGAAAGTTTTAACCCCCACGTGAACCCGGGCTGCTTTAAAACAATGGCGTCAGGCACTGGGAGCAAAGCCCGGTGCTTGTAGTCCAGGGGCCACCACCTGTGCCTTCCTGGACAGCAAGGTCCTCCTCGCACTGTGACGTCTGGTCTGGCTCCTTCTGTGTCCCAGTGTCCTGCTCACACTGCAGGACCAGGCAGCCCCACCAGCTCCGTCTCTGAACTACACTCAGTGCAGTCGGAGGACCCACAGGAAGCAGTGGACTCTCCACGCCCCGCTGCCCAGGCC